AATAAAACAGTGTCAGTACTAAATATATTCCCTTGCTTCTTACATTTGTATTTAAACTTTTACTTATTTGTATGTGTGCATATGTGTGTATGATGTGTGTGTGCACACACAGAAGTCAGAGATGTCAGGTATCTTGCTCTATGACTCTCCACCTTATCCCTTGAGGCAGAACCTTTGAGCCAGAAGCTACACTGCTGGCCAGAAATCCCCAGTGATTCTACTGTATCCATCGGGCACAGTGCTAGGGTTAGAGGTGTACATGGTTATATATGGGCTTTTACACGGGTTCTGGAATTTCAACTCAGGTCCTAATGATTCTATGGGAAAAGTACTTATCCACTCTAAGCCAATTTCCCAGCTGAAATTTATTTAACTAAGTATTTTATTAGTTCTTTGAGACTTTTATATCATGATCATATTCACCCCAACTCTTCTCCTTAACTCTTCCCATATCCACTCTTACTTTCTTATCCATAACTTAATGTATTCTTGGTTTAAAATGTAAGGAAACCAACCATTTTAAAAGTCTCTCTCTCTCTCTCTCTCTCTCTCTCTCTCTCTCTCTCTTTAATTTTAGTAATTCTACACAGACATTTTTTTCCTTAGAAGCCATAGAATGCCAAATAAAAAGCCCAGTTACAGTTGTGGGATATCTGCTTTCAAGTTATTGATTAGGGGTATCCCAAAGAAAGTCCTCAAACAAGATAGGCAATTCTTATTGTTCTTGCTTATCTAACAGATAACTTGTCAGCAAAACCTGATAGCTGAAGATAGCACACACATTGGTCAATGGACAGGTAGAAATCAAGTTGTTTCTGATCAGGAGGCTTTCTTCCTGCTGGCTAGATTTCACAATCATTGAAGGTGCTATTTAAGCAGGATACAAAATCTGTGAATTGCAATAATGACCAGCATGGCAAGATATGACCATGTGTGCAATAGTGGCACAAATATTACTAGGGCAGCCAACTGCTCTGGGGTTATATTTAATGTCATTTGTTTTTTAATCATCACCTAATAAGATGAATTTACTACCTGTGTCATAAAGTTTAAGATAAAAGAAAATAACAGAGAGTATTCAACAAAAACTTTAATTTGCCATACATTACCTAAGGTATATCAGGAAATGATACACCAATAACTGAACAGTTGTTTCCTATGGGGAAACATACTGATTTGTCTTTTTACAATACAAAAGTAGTATATGTCTGAGAGTTTTCTGTAAGAGTATATATAAATAGATATACGAATATTACTATTATTACCCATAAAACTGTGTATTTAACTTAACACAAATGTCATCAATAATTGATATTTTAGTCATTTTAAATTAATGTCAAACTAAAATTTTCCTATATCTCCTATTATATCCAACTTATTTTGTAAATATAAAAATGGCTCATCTTTGTGTCTATGAATAGATATGTGCATACTTTAATACATGTAAATTATATACATAAAATAGCCAATTTAGAGTATTTTTACAAGCTCTTTCTATTATTTCCACTTAATATTAATGAATCCTATAGACAAGTTTTTAATCTCTTAAAATGTAGCTTCTGACGGGAAGAATGATGAGAAATTGGCAGGTTGAGGGAACATTAACTCTTTCAGACAAATCAAGACCCATTTCATGTTCTGGAAAATATGATTTCCCAGACAAGTCTCCTGTGGCTTGAAAGGGTTTATGTATCCTTTAACCAGTGATACATTCTCTTTTTTGCCATTACTATCATGCCCCAAATGTCTATCAAATTCCCTGGACAATCTTTGAATAATGGAGTTCATGCCCAGTGTAATTTCAGCAAGGCTCATCAAACAGATAAGTCTTGAGCATACGGCTCAAGCATAGGCTCCATTCGAAGAGTTCCTTAGACAGCAATTTTAATAGACATGTTGGCTAAGACATAATTATTAATACAGGCACATTAAAAACAAAACATAGTAAATCTAACATTAGATAGGTAATAGGGTCATTTCTTTGGATAAACTGGGGCCATTCTATAATAACAACCTAATGTTCTCTATTTTCTTGCCTGAACGTAAAGTTTCATATCTTTATACACTGAACTATAATATATTTTACAAAACAAAACAAAAACATTTATGAAGCACTTACCTTTCTAGAAAACATCACGCCAGACTTGTTGCCAAATACTTAATGATGAAAAGGATGCACATCTTAAAGGTGCTTATGAGCCGGTGTGCAAAACTGGCATGTACATAAACAAGAGTACAGGCAAATGAGTAAGCAAGATCATCAAAGTATTAAAATATTATGAGAACACAAGGGACAAGGAAATTAATTTTGATTGCTATGATTAGGAAGGGCTTTCTGGAGGAGATGGTGTAAGTGAGCAGCTAATTTTTAAATTAGTTTACCATCTTTTCAAAAAGAACATTTTTCCCACTTGAGAGAGACTGCAAGAAGGCAATAAAACAGTTTCACAGGGAATACATGTGGAATTC